CTCCCGGGATCCCCAGCGAGGTCTGCAAGGTTGAGCGAAGAGCTGCAGGCAGCCCCCCCGAGGATAATCATTTGCGAAAGAAGGACGTACGCGTACATGAATCCACGTGGATTTCGAGAGTGCGCATTGCGCAAATGTTCCCTGGCGCGCTCCGCGCGCCGAGGAGGGGGGCCCGCGCGGGCCGGCGAAAGTTTCTGTCTGTGTGTTGCTTGTTTTATGTTGTTTCTCTTTCTGTTTCATCTCATTCTTCTTCTGGTATCTGTGGTGGCGCGCATGCGCCGCATCGCGGCGCAGAGTCCAGGCCGCGGGGGCGCGGATGTGGACGTCAGCTCGCCGCGCGCGGCGGGAGAGAGAGGGGGAGGCTGGGTCTCGGGGAGCGGAGCTGGCGCTGGGTGGCCGAGGGGCCCCCCGCTCGTCGCTTCGGCTGGACGCGGCCAGACCATGCCGGCGTCACCCCAGCATAGTTCTACCATATTCGGGCCGAGCGAAAGGGGGGGGGATAGGGAAAGGGGGGGTCTACGAGATCTGCTGCCTGCAGCTGGTTGCGGCCCCGCCGCCGGGCCCATTCCTCGACACATGGGCGCCTCCGGGGCGACGCGCGCACCGAGAAATCTTCGAGTATATGCGTCGTGGCGGGCGCTTTCTGGCCACACCGCTCGGGAAACCATATACTACAACATGGGTATACTAGATGTTCGGGGCGGACGCGCGCCTCCAGGGCGGGCATATAGTATTAATATGTCTCTGCGCGTCCCAAGGACAGTTTGATTCTGAGCGAGGTTGTCCTCGTCCCTTCCCTCTTGACCGATCTCTGAGTCCCCATCCAGCTCAGACCCCCCCTGCCGCTCCCACTCAGGGACATATACACCCCATGGGCCCTGGGGGCTATCTGGGCGCATCCCCTATCGAGAATGGCATGTCCCTCTACAGGAGGAATAGTCAAAAATAGTAAAAAATAGCATGCTGACGATTCTTCCTGCTCCTTCGAATCTGTTCGACAACCATTCCGCGATTCTAAATCTGTCTTCCAAGATCCGCCTGTAGGAGGACATGCCCGGCCCAAGTGTACTACGGAGTTTGGCCCCCGGAATTCTGGCCCGCGCCAGAACCCTACAAGATCGGGGATGCGGGTCGCCCTTCGGCTCGGCGCCGCGTCTGGCGCGAGTCAGGGCCACCCGGCCTCCGCCGAGCTCTTCTGTCCTGCGTGTCGCGCCCCACGTCCTCCATGCGCTTGGGGCAATGTTGGCTCCGGAAGGCTATCGTATCGTTTCGCGGGTCCTCGAAAGGGTATCCTCCCTAATCCAAATCGGCTCTGCGGGTCCTCGAAAGGTTTTCGCGGGTCTTCGAAAGGTTCTCGAAAGGTTTCACGGGTGGCGTATCTTCTCGCGGGTCCTCGAAAGGTTTTCGCTTTTCTCTGGAAGGGTATCCTCTCTAATCCAACTCGATTACAGATGGGGTCGGTGGATCGTGCCGCATCGTCGACGCATACCGTCTATACGGCTCGATGTTGAGCCCGTTGTATTCCACACCGACGTCGCCGATGCCAACGTCGCGGATACATCGGCGATGTATCATCCATGCGCCGCGACGATACAAACCCATCTACTTCGACTCCACTTGGTCGGACTCCATCGGCCGTCATCGAAGGATCGGCGACATCTGACATATGCGATCGTTCCAGGCTGAAGAATCCGCATGGCGCCAGAAACCCATTCCGGTCCCATCGCGGTCAGAACCCACCGTAGGTTGCGACGTTCGGCTATGTCGTCGACGTCGTCCCCATCTTTGTCGTTTCGCCCGTCGTCTGTCGGTCGTCCTGGTCGTCGGCCGTCCTCGTCGTCGTCCTGGCCGTCATTGTCGTCATCGTCGTCTGCTGCGTCGTCGCTGGCTGCGACCGAGAGTAGGCAGAAGCACAGCTTGCGTGAATCGGGAGAAGGGCTGGAGGAAGGGAGAAGGGTTAGAAGGGGAGCGAGCGGGGAGGGGGGACGGGGAGGAATGCACTATCAGAAGGCGAATGTGAATTTCCGTCGGGTAGATTCAATTTCTGGCCTTGTCGACACTAGATGGACTGGTGGTGTGAATTACCATTTGCGCGACGCTGCATCTTTGAAGAGGTGTGTTTGGTGGAGAAGCACATGGCATTGCAGGATTTAGCAGGAGGAAGGAGGGAAGGGAGAGTACGGCAATCGTAGCTGCATGAGTGCAGGAGGAGGAGGAGGGGGAGCAGGGAGGAGAAGGAGGAGGAGGAGGCAGGAGGGAGGAGGTTGTGGTGGAGCAGGCTTTTTTCCCGTGAACGGCACGCGGGGGGTCCTCCCCGGGTGTTCGGGTGCAGTGCGCCTCCGCCTCTTCGCGGCGACCAGCGGCCAAATCCCCTTCGCCCTCGGCTCGAGGTCTGAGAGGGGAGGCCTTACGGCCTGTGCCGCTGACCCCGCACGACGACGACGACGACGACGACGACGACGACCCTGACGACGACGACGCCGACGCCGACGTCGCCCTCGGCTCGAGGTCTGATTTGTGAAGCTTCTCGCGCGCAGCTCCAGTTACGAGCTTTCACCAAATACCAGCATCCATCTAGGCACCTTGCGAGTTCCCAGGGGCGGGGGGGGCGGGGGGGGGGGCCAGGAGGAGGTTGGGGAGCTGGAGGAAGACCCGGGAAGGGCCAGGTGAGGCAGCGGTAGCAGCTGGCCTTCTGGGAGCCTCTCTCGCCGCCGCGCCTGGACGCAGCTCGGAATCCCTGTGCGTCTTGGCTCCGGGAGGGGTCCCGGTGCCGAGTCGGAGCTGCCGCTGTTCGGAGACAGGGAGCAGTAGCAGGAGATCGGGTTGGCAGGAGGCCAAGGCGAAGGGACCGGCGGCAGAGAGGCGGAGAAGGTGGGTCGAGAATGAGTGCGAGAAGTGGTGATGATGTAGGGGTAGGAGGAGGAAGAGGAGGAGAAGGTGGAGGAGGAGGGGAGGAGGACGAGGAGGAACAGGATGATGATGCTGCTGATGAGGATGGTGGTGGTGGTGATGATGATGATGACGATGATGATGATGATGATGATGGTGATGCTGATGCTGATGCTGATGCTGATGCTGATGCTGATGCTGATGATGATGATGATGATGATGATGATGATGATGCTGATGATGATGATGATGATGATGATGATGAGAATGATGATGATGATGATGGTGATGAAGACATTGATGGTGATGATGATGCTGATGCTGATGCTGACGTTGCTGTTGCTGTTGCTGTTGCTGTTGCTGTTGCTGTTGCTGTTGCTGTTGATGAGGAGGATGCTGATGATGCTGATGCTGATGATGATGAAGAGGAGGAGGAGGAGGAGGAAGGTAGTTGTGCTGGTTTCGCAGGAGAGCGGCAGCCTGTCGGGCACCCTGTGAGCATGCCTCTTATCTGTGCTTACGCCGTTTACACGCACACCTTGCCACGGCTGCCCGAGCCAGGGGAGCCCTCACCCCCCCCCTCGTATCTCTCTGTCTCTCTCTCTCTCTCTCCCGTTCGCTCGTTCTCTTTCTCCCTCTCTCTCTATGTATATATGCATTATTTGGATACATCTATCAATATATGTGTGACCGGAATGGGGATACGATGACAAGCAGTGGATGAGGATGCGCAGGTAAGAGCATCAGAAGTGCCAGTAGCAGTGAACTGAGCAGGCGGATGAGGAGGAGGAGGAGGAGGACAGTGGATGAGCCGGGAGGGAAATTGAGAGATGAGGGATGGAGCATGGGGGGGGCGGAGGTGGAGAGGAGATCGAGGGCGCATGAGGAGGGAGGAGGGACGGGAGGGGGGAGAGTGTGTGGAGGGAGGCCAGAGGAGGACGGATGAGCATTTAGGGTTGAGGAGGAGGAGGAGGAGGCAATTGGGAGGAGAGGACTCTTGTCTCTATCTCTATCTCTTGCTGTCGTTTCTGTCCAAACGGGGTCTCCGCTTCGCGCCGCCCTGCTCTGGCTGTGGCCCGCCATTCCTGGCGGCCCTCTTCTTTGACCCCGTCGTCCTACTCAAACCTTCGTGCTGCTGCTGCTGCTGCTGTTTCTCCTCGTCCTGCTTCTCCTCCTCCTCTCGCCTCCCTTCTCTCCTCCTCCCCCTCCGACTTCCCCCTGTGCCTGCTTGACCACCCAGTCCACTGTTCTTCACTGTCAACAGCTCCTCGTCGCTTTCGCCACATGAGCAGGTCGAGAGCGGGCTGGGCACTTCGCCTGCGACTGCCTCTCAACCTAAGACGTTGAAGTTGATGGGTCAATTTTCCACCACCACCACTACCATAAGTTGGAGGGGGAAGGAGGAGGAGGAGGAGGAGGAGGACGGAGAGGAGGAGGAGGAGGTGGAGGAGGACCCCCTCCCCCTCCAACTTATGGTGGTGGTTGTGGAAAACTAGCCCATCATGAGGTTGGAGACTTCGAGTTGCGCGGATGGGCGGCGAAGTGTTGTCGAAGCGCGCGCGCATGCGTCTTGGACGCTTGCGACAGCTGCAAGGACTGATGGCGAGGGGTCTTCCAAGTGTGGTTCTCGCCAGAGCGCTGTGCAGCCTTGCCTCACATGTCCACGGCAGTTCCGACGACAAAGCTTGGCTGGCTCTCTCAAAGTGCGGCTCTGGCCCTAGCATTGCGCACATGTGCCATCAAACATTGATAGTTTCTATAACCATTGATTGTGGAGAGCGAATGCGCCCTAGCGCCACCATCATTCTTCTGAAAGCTCTGGCCTGCTGCAAGCATTGAGGGCGCTTCTTGTTCGATGCGGGGTTTCCGCTGCTGATGCGGAGGCTAGCTCCTTTTTCCAAGTGGGATTCGGGCTTCAAACTGTGGATTGCTGTCGGTCGTGTTGCAGTGTGGCACAGTTGCGCGGATGGAGAGCGTCCAATGTTCAAAATGGGAGTTTCTGTTGGACACCTCTCTGGATGCCGTGATCAGTGAGGGGCCCGTCTGCCAGGAGAGTGGAGGGTGGTCCTTGTCCGCGCGGGGTTTTCGCTTGAAGGCAAGCCCATAAGCCTATCGTCGTTCAAGGAAGGGGATCCCGTCGGGGAAAGGAATGTAGGCACTTGAATTAAGTCGGGCCTGTCCCTCTACAGGAGGAATATTCAAAAATAGTCCAAAAATAGTCTAGGTACTATCTTTTGAGCTTGTTTCACCATGTTGGTGCATTTTTTCTTTTTCGTCCAAATCCCCCTGTAGGGGGACTGCTCTGGCTCAACACTTGAATGAGGTGACCTGGGACGGGAGGGTGCATTGCAACATCGATGATGTACCTCGGGTCTGTTCTGTGCCAACTTCCTCTCATGTGTGCCGCGAGGACGGCATAGATGAGAACCCCTCCCAGCGAATCCGACTGGATCTTAGCCGCTGCATTACACGACCATCTTCCCCGTCCCACGGCAATGATCTCGTCCCAGTCGTCGTCCTCTTTCCTTCTTCTCCTCCCTCCTCCTCGTCCTCATCCCTCGCCGCCGACCCGTGGGCAGATCAGCAAGATGAGTGGATTCGTGAATGAGGGCGCGGCCGCGATCACTCCAGTGACCGGCTCGCCCTCGACTTTCAAGGAGCTTTTTTCTGCGAGCTCGCTGAGGGAGGAGAGAGGAGGGAGGGCTGCTAAAACAGAAGAAGTGGAGGTACCGATATCTCTACCCTTTCTCATTTTCGCCTTCCTGGGCCTCCTGGGAGGCCCACGTCGCCACCGCTGGATTCGCCTCGAAATCTCGTCAGAACATGTCTGGGCAGTAGCGGTGTCGGCACCTCTTTGCCAGGGAGGCTGCTGGCTGAATTCCGCCGTCCTCCACCCCGAGGTCTTTCCAGCAAGCTGGCTGCGGCTGTGCCAGGGCGTGTGGGCCACACGTCCACCACCTCAATGAAAAAAGAGCGGGAGGAGGGAGAGGAGAGGGGCAAGGCAGGTGGGCTCGCGCCAAATCTGCATCCTACCCCCTCCCACATCCTGCAGCCCATCCTTCCCCGTTGCGTCGGTGTTTTCTCCATCCGCCGACGCGTGTCAATGGCGGAGCTGGAGCACCCCCCAACGGAGCCCTGCGCGGCATGCGCAATCTGTCAGGGGAGGCTGCGTCCATTGGAGGACACTGCGGATGAACAGGAGGATGAGCAGGAGGAACAGAAGGATGAGGAAGGAGGAGGGCGATGAGGCAGAGCAGCTGCAGGAGCAGCGTCCAGGACAGCTGATGGAGGCTGCTGGCTCAGGTCCTCTGTGCTCCACCTCGAGGTCCTCCGCCTTGAGGGTTGAGCAGCGGAGAAGAGACTTTGCCCGTTCTGCAAACTTGCTGCGGTTGTGCTTGGGAGTGTGTGTCGCCATTCTACCACAACTCTGAGGGAGAGGAGGAGGGGGGAAGAAAGAAAACGAAAATGCTTAGGGGGATGCGTAGCAGGAGGAGTAGGAGGAAGAGGGACGAGGAGGGAGAGGAGAATGAGGAGGGATAAGAAGAGGACGGAGGAGAAGGAGGAGAAGGTGCAGCAGTGAAGAAAGGCATGGTTGTGTATTCAATCTCTGTGGAGTGCAGAGGAATTTCTGCTCACACAGCCAATTTGGTGTACACAGTCGCTTTGATGTACACAGGCGTCGCGGTGCACACAATGTATTGCTGCAGCATCTGCGGCACAGGCGATGCGGTTCACATAGGCGGCGTGGCATTCGCAGGCGTTGTGGGCACAAAGTGCGGCCGGACGGCACCATGGGCCAATCAAACCAATGACCACAAGCAACTATCCAGCTGCCTGCGGCAAGTCCCGCTACCGTGGCAACCCAGCATTTGGGACGGCGGTTGACCGAGTGGAGACGGGATACCGTCACGTGTGACACCTCGTATTACCAGCATTCTTAGAGCCGTGATGATGATTATGCGGGTACCCAGATGATCATTATGATGATGATCATGATGTTGATGCTAATGATGGTGGTGCCGATGATGATGTTGACGGTGATGGTGACGGTGATAGCTCATTGTACTGGCGACGGTGTTGTTGGTGATGATGGTGATGCCTGTGCTCAACGGGTCATATTATCATGCCGCTGATGATGATGATGATGACGACGATGATGATGATGATGATGATGATGCTGATGATGATGATGATGATGATGATGATGATGATGATGATGATGATGATGATGATGATGATGATGATGATGCTGATGATGATGATGATGATGATGATGATGACCACCATCATCATCAGCAGCAGCAGCATCGTCATCATCACCATCGTCATCATCGTCATCATCATCATACGACTACGATCATGCTGGTGGAGATAGCGTGGTGGTGATAATGACGATGTTGCTGATGCTGATGATGACGACGAGACGATTATGGTGATGCTGATGATGCGTATCATGGCGATGCTGATGATGCCGATGATGATGCTGATGATGATGCTGATGCTGATGCTGGTGCTGGTGCTGGTGCTGGTGCTGATGCTGATGACGCTGATGATGACGACGATGACGAGGAGGACAAGGAGGAGGAGGAGGAGGAGGAGGAGGAGGAACGCCGTCACACGTTGTTCCGTGTTATTTATTCATTTGAGGAGGTCCCATTAAAGTTGTGCGAGCCGTCATGTGGTTTTCTTGACCTACTCTGAGGCAGTCGTGGGGGTCCCTTGGGCCCCCTTGGGTCGACTTGGGGCTATCTTTGAACGTCTTGGGGCGTTCTTGGGCCGTCTTGGGCGCTCTTGGCAGTATGGTAGGTTCTGGTGGGTCCTTTGGGGCCAACTTGGCGCCGTCTTAGGCAGTTTGGGCTTTCCAAGACCGTCTTGGGTTCCACGGGAAGCCCTTTTCGGCCGTCGTGGGACCCTCTTGAATGCCTCTTGGACCCGTGCGGGGACCGCTTAGTTGGACCCTCGTTGCGGCGCTTTGAGCCGTCTTAGCGCCATCGCGGAGGCGAAGCCCCACAGGGCGAGAGTGCGAAAACCGTTCAACGCCCCCCGGGGGATCATGAAGTTTGGTCTCCTCTGGCCGGGTTCGAGGTCCTCCGTGGGCCTTTCTGGGCTCTCTTCAGCCACGCGCAGAGGGGGGTGGGGGAGGGGGGAGGGCTTCTTAGAAGCACCCCTGCTTCTTAGAAGGCGCGGGCCTTCTCTATAGACGTAAGGCCGAGGCCTTCTAAGAAGCAGGGTGCCTCTAAGAAGCCTTCCCCCCTCCCCCCACCCCCTTTTGCGCGCCGCCAATCTCTTGGAGGCGTCGTGGGCCGTCTGGAGGCCACACGCGGCAGCCCTGGGGCCGTCTTGGCCCGCCTTCGAGGCAGCGTGGGCCCTCCTGGCTGCCTCGGTTGCCTCCAAAGGCCGCCTCGGCTGGTCGGCGCGCGGGCGCGTATGTTTTTCCTAGGGCCCGTGGCCTCGGGAGCGCGGAGCCCATGCTTTTGTGCGCGGGGCTGTGGCCCGCGGGGGCAGGGAGGGGTGCACGCGCTTGTCTGCGGGTCGAAGGGGGGCGGCCCCTCCTTAGAGAACGGAAGCCCACCAGGGCAGCAGTCAGCATCCCAACACGCCAACGTCGTGCAGGAACGGTGGCGGGTCATAACGAATGTGATGCGTCGGCGATTTTCTTGAGTTCGTCGCCGTCTGGACCCTGAAGGTGTACACAGGTCGTGTGGTGTACACAGGCACTGAAGTGCACCGGCGCTCTGGTACAAACGCACACACACATGCGAACCAGCAGCTATTGTGCACACGTGCGACGTGGTGTGCACTGGCGACGTGGTGCACACGGCTGCTGTGGTGTAGTCAGACATTACAGTGTACATACATGTCGATGCAACAGCAGCAGGAAAGGCACTCTTGGTGTACGCAGTCATTGTTGTGTACCTGGGCGCTGTTGTGTAAACGTGCTGTAGTGTGCCCTGGCAATGTGGTGTAAACACGCTGTGAGGTGCAAGCCCCAGGCACACTGGTATGCACATGCATTATTTTGCACACGGGCTTTTTAGCGTACGCATGTGTTGTGGTGTGCGCTGGCATTGTTGTGAACACATGCGTTGTGGTCTATGGGGTCATCGTAGTGTACCTAGGCATTTGTGCACGCTTGTGCACGCAAGCATTGTGGTGTTGTGTGCGCTAGAGGTCCATCGGCTGGCATACCGTGCCGCGCGAAGTCGATACGTCCTCTGTTCGATGCTACACTCGGCAGTCCCCTTGCTCGGCCGAGCTTTACTGGGCAGATCCGTACGCACATGCTAATCCTAGAGTCTTTCCTGCGCATTCCCAGACTGCCCTGGCCCGAAACGTAACGGTACATGAGGAGGGGTGGGGCCAGCAACGGCCGTTACCATGGGTAATCAAACAACATATTCATAGTCCCTCGGGTCTCCCGAGAGCCACCGTTTGTGCTTGTTGGGGAGGAGGAGAGAGAGGAGGGGTGGAGGAAATGAGGGAGGGTGCGTGGTAGCATGGATGATGGAATGACAGGTGGAGGCTAAGGTGGAGGAGGGCGAATGTGGGTACTGAGCGATGGATGATAGGTGAAATTTGCGCAGGCCGCAGGTGCACCGCTCGGGAGTCTGCAGTGCGGAGGAGGCGGCGGAGACGGCGCCGGGGGGGCGTGGCGGAACCAGGTGGGCGGCATGGGCGGCGACGCTTGAGGTGGTCAGTGGCAGGGGTATGGTTCGCGACGCTGGAGGTCTGGAGAGACACGAGGAACAGAGAGAGAAAGAGAGAGAGAGAGAGAGAGACAGAGAGAGGGAGGGGGAGAGGGGGCTCTCGAGGGGCCGTGGCTTTTCGAGGACTACGGGCGGGTTGCCGTGGGTACTCCTCGTAGTGTGTCGTCCTCGTCGTCCTCTGAGACCATTCAGCATGATACAACCCCTGTCGCGGCCAAACTTATGTCTACGGTTTTAGGGACCTTCCTAAACATTTGAGTATTTCCTCGTCTGGCACATCTGCCGAACATACCCCCCCTGTCTCTAATTACTGATGTTGGCCCTCTTGACGTCGGTCCCCTTCCAATTGGCTGGGGGTAACAGGGAGTTGTGTTGCCTATCGCGAGAAGTCGTCCTCTCGGTCGGTGTGTCCCGGGCCATGTCGCCTTACGGCGCCTTCCTACTTCAAGAGTCGAATTGTCTTCCTCGTCCATCCTCCTCAGGGGACGTGCGGAAGCCCAATTTACTTGCAACGCTTTCCTACTTCATGTTGCTACCAACTTCTTCCGACCGACGTGCACTGCGGATGCAACTCCTGGGAGGTCAAATTCAGATTTCGTCATGGTCCGACATCTGGTTGAATCCCGCTTGTTCCGAAGACCTCCCAGTAGTTGCCTCCTAAGACGCTCTTCGCAAAGCGGGAGGCGCCGCGTATGGAGCAGGGGCGATGGGATGACCCCCCCCCTGGCGCGGGGAGCGGAAGGGAGGCAGAGTGAGAGAGAGAGAGCGAGGCAGAAGAGAGAGAGAGAGAGAGAGAGGGGAAGGGGCGAGAGCGAGGATGCTTGTTCTGCCCTCCAGAAGGGAGGAAGAGGGCAGAGGCAGAGGCAGAGGCAGAGGGGCAGATGCAGAGAGGGAGAGCCAGGGGGACCGAGGGCGGGGGAGCGACGCCCGGCCCCATCCAGCGCGGCCTCTTCGGCGAGCCCGCGCGCGGCACCCCGGACATGAAGCCGAGGGCCGGCAACCCGCCCGGCGAGGGCGAGGGGGAGGGAGGAGGACCAGAGGGGAGAGGGAAAGGGCGACAGGGAGGGAGGAGGGGAGAGAGGGGAGAGAGGGGAGAGAGGGGGGAGCGAAGGGCGAAGGGCGAGGGAGGGGGAGCGAAGAGCGACGGAGGGGGAGCGAAGAGGTGGGGGAGCGGGGGAGGAGGAGGGAAGAGGAGGAGGAGGAGCAGGAGGAGGAGGAAGAGCAGGAGGAGGAGGAGGAGGAGAAGGACGAGGATTGGGGAGGAGGAGGGAAGAGTAGGAGGAGGTTGGAGCAAGGAGGAGGGGAAGGAGGAGGAAGAGGAGGATGAGGGATGAGTAGGAGGGAGACGAGGGTGCAAGAAATAATGTTTTTAGGAAGAGGAAGAATAACAGAGTCTTGCTGCCATCTTAAATCTCACATCTCACCGCTACACATTGGTGGCACTTCGCACTGCACGACTCAGAGCAGCCTCCTTATCCCTCTACTCCCTTTCTCCTCGGCCTCGCCTCGCAACTACGCCACCCGTTCTCCTCGTCACCTCGTCCACCCCTCATTCCTCTCAGACCGACTTGTCCAATTCTCGAGTGTCGCGTAGACTACGCCCATGTGTCTAGTTCAGACCCGCGGGGCCCGAACCGAACCGAGCCTCACTCATTCCTCTCTGTTCTTTCTTCCCTCCTGCCCCCCCCCCTCCGTCCCACCCCGCCCACCCCCGCCGGCCGAACGACGGCGACTCCGACGTCGGCTACGGCGACGACGACAGCTGAGACGGCGAGGACGGCGGCGGCGACGCCGACGACGGCGACGACGCCGACGGCGGGGACGACAGCTGTGGCGAGTGCGGCGGACGACGGCGGCTTCGACGACGCCGGCCGAGGCGGCGGCGGCGTCATGCAGCTGGCGGCGCCTTGCGCCCAACCACCCCTTGGGCGGCGGAGGCCGACACGCCGATGTCGCAGGCGACCACGGCCCCGAACACGCCCATGTGCACGCCCGCGGGCGTCTTCATGGCCGGCACGCCCGCGCCTCGGCTCGTCGGCTCCGCCTCCTGCCTCCCTTTCGGCCGCCTGCCTTCCATCCCTCGCTCGTCCTGCCTCGTCGCTCCTCCTCCTCCTCCTCCTCCTCCTCCTCCTCCTCCTCCTCCTCCTCCTCCTCCTCCTCCTCCTCCTCCTCTGTTTCCTCCTCAACCCCCTCCTCCATCCCTTCGTCTTCTTTCTTCATCCTCCCTCCCTCCTGCCTCCTCTCGCCTGCCTCCTCCCTCCCTCCTGCTCCCCCGCTCTCCCTCGCTCCTCCTCCGTCCCCCTCCTCTACAGTGCCGCGAGCGTCAGGGCACCGTCCCAGGGTCAGCGGCAGTGCGCAGTCCCGATCAGGACGATCGACATGGGTACAGAAAGAATGGGTACGATGCCCAACAGCAGTCCCCGTTCATTTTGAACATGGCTCGCTGTCCGCGCCGCCGCGGACGTTTTTTTTGTTGAAGACAAAGAGCCGCCTGCCCAGCGGCGGCCGCTGACCCTGGGACGGTGCCCTGACGCTCGCGGCACTGTAGAGGAGGGGGAAAGAGAAGGAGCGAGGGAGAGCGGGGGAGCAGGAGGGAGGGAGGAGGCAGGCGAGAGGAGGCAGGAGGGAGGGAGGATGAAGAAAGGAGACGAAGGGATGGAGGAGGGGGTTGAGGAGGAAAAAGCGGCCGCTGTCGGTTTCGCAGAACACTTGCTGTTGGGCGTTGTACCCGCTCTTTCCGTACCCACTGCGGGCGTCCGAACTCGAGGCCCGCGTCCGCGCGCCTCCCTCGCACGGTCCCTGGCCCGCGGCCGCGCGCCACGGCACGCCCCCCCACCAGTCACTAAGTCAAAACAGATGCCCAATCCCCAAAAACGCGAGGGGCCAAGTCAAAATGCAGGCTCCTCGAGACTTCGGGCAGGGCGACGACGACGAACGCAAAACATGCCCCGAAATCTTTGGCCGATCTTCGAATCCTCGGTGAATCCGCGATTTTGGGATTGGGGATGTTTTTCTTCGTGGTCGACCAGAGTGGGCGGAGGGGCGGAGGTGCAGCTCCTCGGGGCGACCGCGGGCCTCCGGGCGCGACCCGAACCGCGGAGTCGGATGCAGCTCCTGGGAGGTCGAATCCTGGTCTTGCCCTGGTCCGACGTCCCAGGCTTAATCCGCAATCCGGCTGAATCCCGCGTCATCTGGCTTAGTCCCGCTTAATCCCGCTTCATCCGGCTTAATCCTGCTCGGTCCGAGACCCACTCCGGCGTAACAGCTCCCAAATGGGGCTTAATCTTCAACCTTTCCAGCGAAAACCTCCCAGTAGTTGCCTCCTAAGTGGTGCTGTGATGTTCCAACCTGCTTTAGCCTGGGGTACCAGGAGGAGTTTCGGACACCAAGAAAGTATCGAGACCGGAGGGCTTTCACGTGTGGGACCCTGGGGGTTGATACTCGTGCGGCACTGTTTCTGCATTACTCTTGTTTTGGGTGCTCGAGAGTATTTCTGGGATGTGGTCTGTGAGTGCGACGGGAGCGACATAAAGCCCGGTGCAGAGCGCGGCAGGGACGCGCCTCGCGCGCGTGGCGCTCGGAGGGAGACACCTCGCGGTCCTTCCATTTGGGCCACGAGGCCAGCAGTTCTCCTGGCCGGCCTTCCCAGGATTCCAGGGTCTCGTTCGCTCCTTCGTTCGTGCCGTGAGATCCTCAGGAGGAAAATGTACCCTTGTTGGGCCTCCTCGGAGGCCCTCGTCGCCACTGCTGGATTCGCCTGGAAATCCGGGTCAGAACGCACCCCGGGAGAGGTCTGGGGAGTATCGGTATCTGTACCTCTTGGTTTCCCCGGGGGTCTTGACGACTCCATTTCCTCGAGCCCGACGTGTTCGCCTCGTGTCGGGCCCCGGAGCCCTCACAGTTCGATCGGGCTCGAAACACGACGCAGACAGATTGGGTCTGGGGCTCCGGGCGTGATTTTTACGACGCGTTGCAGATTGTTCGCTACGCCGGATCTCAGAGTCCTTTTTTCCGTCCTCCATCCTCTCCCTGCCCTTTTTTAGCGACCCCGACGTTAGCCGTCGAGTCTTTGACAAGTAATGCATTGAGGTAATTCCGCGTGCGACCATGATGATACAGACGAATAGCATGTGCACGACAAATAAATCCTCCTCATCTCTGCCTCCCCACTCCATCAACACAATGTGTGTCACCAGCGCCAGCGTCATTATTCCCATCGTCATCGGTCGTTATCTACATCGTCGTCATTACCAAAGCCGCCGTTACCATCGCCATCGTCTTTTTGCGCCGCTCGGCACCAAGGCGAGAGCCCTGTAAACAAACGGCAGTTTTTTTGTGTCCAGGGTTTTCCAAGTCCGGGGTTACCAATGCCGAGGAATTGTCAGGCGAACTGCCCGTCCTGCACTAGCGCTGCACTTGGATGTGTGACAAGGAGGATTTGCTGCATGATAAAAAGCATTGTCGAGAACTACGATAAGTAATAGAAGGAGGCGTGAGGTGGGAGGAGGTCGTAGCAGGAGCGGGGGAGGATGAGGATGACGCCTGAGGATGAGAAGCAGGAGTAGGGCGGGGGAGTGGACCGGGGAGGTGGAGGATGCACGATCATAGTGGAAGGGGGAGGGATAGGAGCAGGAGGATGAGGCGGTGGAAAGGAGGGACGAGGAGCGAGATGTAGGAGGACGAGGAGGATCATAACAGGAGAAGTAACTTCGGTCGTGCTCCGCCCCGCCGCCCCCTCTCCCCCCGAGACCCCTCCAACCCAGCCCTGGGTCGATGCGTCCGGCTCAGGTTCAGCCTGGACGGCGACCACGACGACGAGGACCGCCGCCTAGAGAAGGAGGGGTCGAGGTTTGAGGGGGGTGAGGAAGGCGGATCAGGAGAAGAGGAGGATGAGAAACAGGAGGATGAGGAGGAGGAGGAGGAGGAGGAGGAGGAGGAGGAGCATGGGGGGAAGAGGAATATTGAAGGAAAGTGTTTTGTGAACCTCCTGGAGGAGTGGAGGGGAGAGAAGGAGAAGGAGGAGGACGAGGACTCGATGATCGATGCTTTGCTGCGTCTTGTGGGCGAGGTGGGAGGGAGGTGGTGAGGAGGAACGAGGCTCGGTTGGGTGGTCCCCGCAGGCGCGAGTCACGCTCGCAACTGCTAGGCGAGTGACGAAGCCATGTGAGCACGACAATCGACACCGCCCTTACAGCGGGCTCGTCCTCACCTCAGGCGCACGGAGCCGAAGAGAAGGACGCTTGAAAGCAAGTGAGGCCCAGAGGCCATAAACAAACGATATTCGTTTGCAAGACTCACATGCGGCTCCAGAGGCCAATAACTGAACAAACGATTGATGTTTGCAAGACACACGTGGGGCTCCAGGGATCATCAATCGAGCAAGCGATAGACGGTCGCCCTCGGCACAGATACGGCGCCAGAAGAACCGCTGGCCTGCGATCCCAGTGAGGGGGGAACCATGGCGGGAGAGGGATCCCCAGGGGATGGGAGGGGCCCAGTCCCACCAATGGCCCACCCCTGGCCCTGGAGCCCTGAGGAACGCGCCCCCTCCCCCACAAGCTTCGGATGCAACTCCTGGGGGGTCAAATTCTGACTTTGCCCTGGTCCGAAGTCCAGCTGAATCCGGCTCGATCCCTCTTACTCCGGGTTCATCTTGCTTCATCTGGCTTGATCCCGCTTGATCCGCGGCCTAGTCCGGCTTCAAAACCCCCCATTGGGGCTTAATTCATCGAGGATAAAAGAACCCCTAACCCTAATAGCACGACGAAGACGTAGCCTCACTGATGTCCCCGCCTCTGCATTAGGGATATCAGCTCTGGGAGGAGGAGGAGGAGGAGGAGGAGGGGGAGGAGGAGGAGAAGGAGGAGGAGGAGGAGGAGGAGAAGGAGACAGGATGAGTAGGAGGAGGACGAGCAGGAGCAGGAGCAGGAGCAGTTGCAGGAGCAGCAGTAGGAATAATTGTTGGGCGACGCCAGCGGCGAGGATCCGGAGCATGAAAATGAGGAAGTGGATGAGACAGATGGAGGATGAGGAGCAGGAAGCCAGGGAGGAGGGAATGTTCTTCCGAGCTTGAGCGGGATCCCATGCCTTGTAAATGTTCCGGGGGCGCTTCTGCAAGGGAGTCTGTTAGTGCGGACAGCGCGAAGGACTGGAAAGGGGAAGAGGAGAAGGTGGAGGAGGAGGAGGAGGAGGAGGAGGAGGAGGATGAGGAGGAGGAGGAGGAGGAGGAGGAGAGGAGGAGGAGGGTGGAGGAGGAGGCTGCAGAGAGGGAGGAGCCGGAAGAGGGAGTGTAATGTTCCGAGGCGGGGCTGCGGCTTCTCCCAGGCATTCTTCGGTGGAATCACCTGTTCTTATTGCCCGATCTGTTCGTTATGCCTGCCCCCTGCCTCCTGTCATCTTGCGCTCCCCTCGGGGGCTGTCAGCTGCTCGACAGTCGCCACTTCGGCAGTGTCCTGAGATGCTCCGCGAATCCGAGTTGCACGTGCACCCAGGCCAGATCCTGGTACCATCTGCGCAACAATCTCCATCTGCGAGCTCATGGGCGGTCCAGCGGAGTGGAGTGGAGTGGCACGCGCCTTTAGCGTAGACCTCGTCATCCCTGGGGGAATGCCGGCCGTGCAATCGTCGTCACTTTCGCAGGCTCTTGGGAGGTCCAGCGGGGTGGAGTTGCACGCGTACTTTGACTCGGTCTTGCGGCTCTGAGTTGGGCTGCCATGAGTGCAGTTGTTGCGATTGTCGCGTGCTCCCGAGAGGTCCAGGAGTGGAGTCGCACTCGCACCAAGACCAGACCTCGCACTTCCCTGGGAGGCTGCCAACGCCGCGACCGTTCTCGCTTTAGCGGGCTCCCGGGAGGCCCAGCGGAGCGGACTTGCTCGCGCATGCAGACTCGGCCTCGCGGCTCCGAGGGGGACCCGCCAATTGCGCAATTGTTCTCATATTGGCGAGCTCCTGTTAGGTACAGCGAGCGGATTTGGACCGCCTTCAGACTAAATCTCGCAGCTCCCTGGTGTGGGGGCTGTCAACTGCGCAGCTGTGGCTACGTTCGTGAGTTCCTTGGAGGTTCAGGGGAGTGCGGTCCCACCCGGATTGCGTAGAGAGCCCGCGGATCATTCAAGAGGGCTGCCAGTTGCGCAATTGTCGCCATTTTCGTGAGTGTCTGGGATGTCCACTGGAGTGCGGTCCCACTCTTTTCGCATCCAGAGCTCGCAGCTCCCTGGGGGGCTGCCAGCAGCGCAACGGTCGCCACGGTCGTGGTGTTCCTGAAAGCCCAGTGGAGTGCGGTCCCGCCCAGACCGCGAGCTCCCGAGACGGCAAGCGGGGCGGCAGCCCGAACATATCGCGAGGCGCTGTTGCTTGCACCAGTCAGTTCTCCTGTTCTGTTTCCTCCTCCTCCTCCTCCTCCTCCCTCTGGTACCGTAGCCGCCGTTTCCTGCTCTAGCCCCTTTCTTCGCGGCCCAGCAGGCACCCCACGCAGAGCAGCTTCCGCCCCCAGGGCACCCTTCATGATATGCCAGCGCGGCCGGCCATCCATATTCCCCTCGCTCGCGCTCTTCTGGATGATTTTACTGCGACGGGGTGTGTATAACACGCTCAGCACGGTCGCGTTGAGCAGCTTGCAGCTGGAGAGACAGTTCAGCGCAGTCGACGTTACCACGTTACCAGCCACTCATGGGAGGCAGCTCGCCCTCACCAGCCCCGACGACCAGCCCCAGACCTACCTGCACCGCGCCGTCGCGAGGTGCTACGGCAGCGGCCCTTTCGCCTACAATCAAGAGGGCGTGGCCAGCGCGATCAGCTACCTCTACCGCCTCGAGTACGTGACCGCGCCCCCCAGCCCGCCACCGAGCATTCAAGGACGTGCAGGAGCAGTTCGCTTTCAGCGAGGAGGTCTCGACATGAAGTTCGCTGTTGCGTCTCCTACTCCACGGTCAGGGCTCGCCATGCACCACCACGCTCGGGTCAAGACGATCAACGAGAAGCCCAAGTGGATCAACAAGACCCAGCACGCGAAGCCCGCCAGGAGCACGTCGATCAACGGCCCTGACCTGCACGACCGCTACGGCCAGGGCGGACTGCCTCCCGCCAAGTTTAGCAACGCGATCGGCGACGCAGGCGCTACAGGAGTACCAGGAAAGGCACCCGCCGCCTTCCACTACACGCTCGACGTGAACGGCAAGTGCATCCCGCACAATTCTCGGTATGCGGGGCCCACGTACATCAGTGCCCGCGGGCAGGCCACACGCCCCGTCTACAGTGCAGTGCCTCAAGGACCATGCTCCTACAATTCTTCTTGCAGGGTACGGCGGTGAACGGTTAAGGCACTCCAACACATCAATGACAAAGTGCTGCGCGACCTTGTCCTACCGCATGCAGCCGCCAACGTCATCGTCCCGAAGGCGTTCACCGACCTAATGAGGCTCGCCTGGGACTACGACAAGCTGGCCCTGGCACTGCCGAAGGACAAGTATCGCAAGGAGTTCAACGGCGCGCTGGAGTTCTTCCTCGGCAAGCACCAGGACAAGCCGAAGAAGTCGGTCGGGGACGGCACAGAGGACGAACTCGGGGAGCTCCTCGCGAACTTCACGAAGCAGAAGCGCCAGCACGAAGCACGACGGCAACGCCCAGAGGGGCGCAGCTACGAGGCCTGGCAACGACGAGTGCACGCTGAAGTACTACTGTCTCAAATCACGGTCGGCTCCACATACTGCAAGCGCAACCGCAAATGCAGCCGCGCGACCAGAACACGCCCCAGCGTGCAGGAGCGGGTAGTTCACATTGCAGCAGACGGCCAGCACGGAGGGTTCAGTGCTCGCCCGTTCGACCTCGAGGCGATCACATCTCAAGGCGATTGCATCTCTATACTCAACTTCCGTTACAAACTCACCGTTACTACGCTCCCAATTTCTCTTGCGCTTTTCGCGCCATTCTGGGCAGGTATGCAGGAAAATGACAAAGGCAAACGTCAAGGTGGCCGCACAGGTTCAACGCCGGAAAAGCAGAAGAAGAAAAAAGAGGAGCAGCTTGACGGCGGAGCAGATTCGGCAATCGATTCAGCCATGGGGTCAGGAGATGGGGTAATTGTTGCGGCATCGCCCCTGCAGTGGTTTAAAGATTTTGATGCCCGTCTGTCGAAGCAAATCGAAGGCATCGCGACTGACCTGAACAGAATGGAAGACATGATTCACGAGGCGAGGATCGAGGCGCAGGACGCACGAAGGGCAGCAGAGGAGGTTCAGGAGAAGATGGAGGAGGTGGAGATGGACGTGGAGGGTATCATGAACGATCTTGAGGAAATGTATTTGACCAAAAAGGACGTCGATGACATCATTGAACACGTGTTCAAATAACAAGTAAACGAAAGCATGAAAGTACAGGCATCTTGGGGCAACTCAAAACATGCAGGAAATAACAACGACGACCAACAAGAACGATCCTACCAAGTACTTGCGCTGGGCTTCGCTGAGCGCCGGGACGCGGAGGACATCATCCAGGAGATCCAACGTATGCTCAAATATCTACTTGGGGAGGGCTCTGGAGTAAAGGTTGAGGCCCCGACGAACCCATCCAAAAAGGGCATCATAACATTCCAGAGCAGGAAGGACAAGGTCAACTTTCACAAGAAGGTGCAGGACCCCCAAAACAAACATACTATCGGAGACAAGTTTTTCACAAACAATTCGACTATGGAGGAGCGGGAGAAAGGAAAAAGCTTTGGGATGCACTAAGCACCACCTCATCCACAACCCTGGCTCCAAGTACAAGGAGGAGGAGGTGGAGATTTGGTGGGGCAGCTGTTTGGTTGCAGTGAGGGGGGGAAAA